CAGCTAAAGTGCTATGCCAATTTCTTAGTTAGTTTCCTTATTTTCTATGATGTTTATTCTTCCCTTATTTACAATGCCTTTCTTTTGTTTTGAAGAGTGCTTTAATTGACATAAATAAACTTATTTATACTACTTGGAAATACAGCTAAAGTGCTATGCCAATTTATTAGTTAGTTTCCTTATTTTCTATGATGTTTATTCTTCCCTTATTTACAATGCCTTTCTTTTGTTTTGAAGAGTGCTTTAATTGACATAAGCAAATAAACTTATTTATACTACTTGGAAATACAGCTAAAGTGCTATGCCAATTTATTAGTTAGTTTCCTTATTTTCTATGATGTTTATTCTTCCCTTATTTACAATGCCTTTCTTTTGTTTTGAAGAGTGCTTTAATTGACATAAATAAACTTATTTATACTACTTGGAAATACAGCTAAAGTGCTATGCCAATTTATTTAGTTAGTTTCCTCCTTATTTTCTATGATGTTTTATTCTTCCCTTATTTACAATGCCTTTCTTTTGTTTTGAAGAGTGCTTTAATTGACATAAGCAAATAAACTTATTTATACTACTTGGAAATACAGCTAAAGTGCTATGCCAATTTATTAGTTAGTTTCCTTATTTTCTATGATGTTTATTCTTCCCTTATTTACAATGCCTTTCTTTTTGTTTTGAAGAGTGCTTTAATTGACATAAGCAAATAAACTTATTTATACTACTTGGAAATACAGCTAAAGTGCTATGCCAATTTATTAGTTAGTTTCCTTATTTTCTATGATGTTTATTCTTCCCTTATTTACAATGCCTTTCTTTTGTTTTGAAGAGTGCTTTAATTGACATAAGCAAATAAACTTATTTATACTACTTGGAAATACAGCTAAGTGCTATGCCAATTTATTAGTTAGTTTCCTTATTTTCTATGATGTTTTATTCTTCCCTTATTTACAATGCCTTTCTTTTGTTTTGAAGAGTGCTTTAATTGACATAAGCAATAAACTTATTTTTTACTACTTGGAATACAGCTAAAGTGCTATGCAATTTATTAGTTAGTTTCTTATTTTCTATGATGTTTATTCTTCCCTTATTTACAATGCCTTTCTTTTTGTTTTTGAATACTGATTTAATTTATATAAGCAAATAATCTTATTTATACTACTTGGAAATATCAATAAAGTGCGCCAGTTTATTAAAAGCCAATTTCATTATTCTTCGTGATGTTTATTTCTCAATTATTTACAGTATGTTGTTTTTATTTTGAATACTGCTTTAATTGACATAAGCAAATAAACTTATTTATACTACTTGGAAATACAGCTAAAGTGCTATGCCAATTTATTAGTTAGTTTCCTTATTTTCTATGATGGTCATTCTTCCCTTATTTACAATGCCTTTCTTTTGTTTTAAAGAGTGCTTTAATTGACATAAGCAAATAAACTTATTTATACTACTTGGAATACGCTAAAGTGCTATGCCATTTATTAGTTAGTTTCCTTTTTTTTTGTGATGTTTATTCTTCCCTTATTTACAATGCCTTTCTTTTGTTTTGAAGAGTGCTTTAATTGACATAAGCAAATAACTTATTTATACTACTGGAAATACAGCTAAAGTGCTATGCCATTTATTAGTTATTTTCCTTATTTTTTGTGATGTTTATTCTTCCCTTATTTACAATGCCTTTCTTTTGTTTTGAAGAGTGCTTTAATTGACATAAGCAAATAAACTTATTTATACTACTTGGAAATTTAAATAAAGTGATAATAATAGTTTTATTTTAGCTATAGTACAGGTTATTCCTCTTTTCTTTGTTTTTTAACTGTTCTAGGATTAACCGTAATCTTATTTAATCAGCCTTGAATCTAGTTCCAAATTCGCAATAAATATTCAGAATTCAGTGAATGTATCTTTGGAATTATAATTGTCAGTTTTTTGGTGGTACTCAATTCTGTGAGGAAAACGATAAAGAAATATGAAGAAACTTTCAATCCAGTTCTTCCTAACCCTTTTATAATTCTAAAATTTTAACTTTTACTGCTTTATTTCAATTTTCCTGGACAGACGGCGTTACGTTCCTTTCCACTTTGCCTTGTCTATCAATGTGCATATAGAATGGTTGTCGCTTCTTACATCTTATCAATTTTTTTCCATACTGCGAAAGAAGGGAGACTATGTCTCATATTTTTCAAATTCTATAAAATTTTAAGCAAAGTGCACGCCCGTCATAAAACTGCTTTTCATAATTTAGGTGGATGAGTTTCTCTTTCCATTAAATAAATGCATTATTCATTTTTTCCATCAATCCTGATTAATGATTTCGTTGATCCTGACCAGCAGTGTTAGGTATAGTTCAACGCTGGGAATGTGCCTCTAGTCAAGAAATACAATATTCAAGTACACAGAAGTCCATTAAAGCACATGATGCGAACTCTTTCTAAAAGGATGGTAAACGATTGCTCCATGCTTTATGTTCCATTAAATCTTACTTAATTACGAAATCTACCTACATTAATCGTCAGCAAGTGTATGCTGCAAATAATACTGCGTATTGTAGCATAAAATTAAACTCGAAGGGTAACTTCTTACGGGAAGCCTCTCCCTTTTCAAACTCCTGTTGAAAGTATCATTGATGCGAATTACATGAAGTATATTATGGATAAACCTAATAATTTATTACTTTTTCTTTTAAAGTTATTGAAATAAAAACTACATTTCACATTTATACATGTTTGAACTTACGATGAGGGAGTCAAATACTGTAATCTAATACATTTTAAACACGAGGGTTGTCCTTTTTCCTAGGAAAAACTAAGAGAAAATTCTAAAGAATTTTTACTGATTTTATTCGAAACCTTAATATTTATCTACTGTTAGTTAATTATTTATGTACGTATGAATGTGTTTCTTGAATGGCCTCACTTAAGTTCAAAATTGGTCGCTCGAAGCCCGTATTTTCGACTGTTTTTTTAATTCATTTATTTCTTATTTCCTTCAAATTTCGGGAACTTTTAATTAAGAGCTCTGATTTAAAAGCTTTGTGTTGCCTCTCTGCAAATTGCAATATATTTGACTTCGAATTTAATCAACAAACTCAGCGATCTAAAAAAATATATTACTACTGACCTAATTAAGGTATTTTTGTCTTCCATGCGGCTGTGTGCCGTGCTTCATGAAACCATGAGCTAGCATTTAGTTTTTCTTTAAAATTTATTCTGTTTTTAATTAACAAACAAAACGATATCAATGTAGTAAACGTAGATTAATTTAAAGGCTAGGTAATTAAATTATAGAGATGAGACCAAATTAATGACACTAAATTATTTATGGATATATATCAAGCATTTGATAATGCCTACGACAATCAAAAGAACCACATATTCATATAAAATTAAAAGGCTCTAATCTAGTGGTCGTGCAGTAACAGAGATCAGCTATAGAAGTAAGCATCAGTTTACACATTGAAAAGCCTTGCAAAGCGATATTAGTTATCAATGACAAGACAAGACAACGGTTTAATTTCAAATTTTTGAGAGAAACTGTATGAAAACTTAATACGATATTCCAGATTTTACATTCTAATTTTATATTTTTAAAATTTTACATTAAAAATGTGTATTTAAAACTTTACATATTTTAATCACCGCAGAAAGTTTAAAAGACCTCTTTAAAAGTCATTGTATATGACCGTATTTAATATCTGTTTGCTGTATTCTCTCATATGGCAGTTGATTTTTATACTTTACTTTCGACTACATCTTCCCAGCGGATAATATTAACTTGATCCCAGAAATCAGTACATCGCTTCTACTGAGATTCGCAGACCCTGTGTAATATGGAGTAATGTACTTAGTATCTGTGGATTTTTGTAAAGACTTGTATTAGTGCATTCATACTTAATATCTTCGTAATATTGCATTTAGTATCCGTATATCTGAGTTCTTTCGCATCTTATCATATCTGTGTATCTGTATATCTGAGTTCTTTCGCATCTTATCATATCTGCGTATCCGTATATCTGAGTAATGCCTTGCATTAGTATTTCGAATCTGTATATAGTAGTGTATTTATTATCTGTGGATCTGTGTAACGACTCGCACTAGTACTATTTCGAAGCTGTGTCAACATTCGTTTTTAATATCTGTGTAGTATGTAACAAAGTATTTAGCATCTAAGCATCTGTATAACGTCTGCATTAGTATTTAATATCTGTTTCAGCATTCGTATTTTTCCGTGAAATTTCATTTACTTAGTATCTATTTTTTAGTTATTTAATATCTGTGTAGCAATGTGTAAAATGTATAGTCTAATGTCTTCATCAGCATATGTAGCGTCTTAATGAACTCCCCATGAGTTCCTTGTGGGGCGCCGGGGGTGTTGCACTAAGCAATTGCGGGATCCGGACAATATCCACTTAGTCTATATAAGCTGCCCGGGTGTCTGGACCCGCTTTCACCTGTCACCACCTATGATTCGCAGACCATTGACTTCCATCATATTAATACTCAGCGTAGAAACACTAACTGCATAGTAGTATGGACTTCACATTAGCACGTACCCTCGTGATTTTCCAGTCACTTTCTATTCAGATGACTCTTCACCTTTATGACTTCTGCCGTTGTGACAATGATTCCAGCCGGCATGAACTCAGTCGGTTGTGAAAAAAGATGAATGTCGTCAGTAGGATTTGCTGGTTGATAAGCTATTACCTTAGTGGATCAGCTTACTTGGTGACAGTTCAAAGTAGTCTGTGTAACCTTTCTAAAAGCACATAATTAAGAATTGCCTTATCTTTAAACTTCGAGCTTTCCAAACAGCTCCTACAGATCAAAACCGAGAAGTGGCAAAAAAACACGCAAGTTAGACATTCGAGTAATGCTGTCGCTTCGAGAGCGAAGAGTGGCCGACATTTTATTCGTAGCATTGTGGTGCTTATAAGGTCATTTACTAACAAACGAAAAATTAAGTGGGATAAGCAGTGCAAATGCCTGACAGTATCCTTTACTCACCTGTCGGGGAGACCTATGGTGCGTAGGTGAAATGAATTTGTCTTTGAAGAGTATAAGGTCGGCAGTGACAGCTTTCTTTAGGCCGACAGTGATTTCACATGTATCGACTGGGCACTGGTCTCTGACGAAGACTTCGCGACCCATGGGGAGATCACTCCACCCCTTGCGCCCGAAGTAGAGAAGTATACGTTTCAGGGGAGGTCGAGTGGCATTACGAAAAGCAGCGTAGCCTGGAGGCAGATACATCAGTTGATTGACGATGCGGTCACTTCCAGCCTCGTGAGGCCACAAAAGGGGAGACGCACCTGTAAAGAATATTTAAATTAGGAAAGAAAAGATAATTTATAGCCATTTGACGGATTTAATTTATAGAAATTTCACGAATTTAAGTATTATAAGCAGATCTAGTCTACTGGGTAACTACATAGTGTTCTACCACTAATAGCGGATAAGGATTGTGGCATAATACTATGTTCACATAGCTTACATATCACTAATGTCATAATCATAAGACCGTTCTTGCTATTAAAAGTAGATCTAGACTACTGGGCAACGACATAGTGTTCTACCATCAATAGGGTTTAAGTATTGTGGCGTAATACTACGTTCAAATAGCTTACATATTAATTACTAAATTCATAATCGTAAGACAGTTCATGGTAACAAAAGCAGATCTAGACTACTGGGCAACGACATAGTGTTCCATCATCAATAGGGCTTAAGGAATTTAGGCGTAATACTACGTTCACATAGCTTAAATATCACTATTGTCATTACCGCAAGACCGTTCGTGCTATTATAAGCAGATCTATATTACTCTGGGCAACAACATAGTGTTATAACGACTACCATCAATAGGGGTTATGGATTGTGACGTAATAATACGTTCACGCAGCTTAGATATTACTAATGTCATGATCGTGAGACCGTTCATGCTAATAAAAGCTCTGGGAATTCGCGATTTAAGCCAACCCGATTTTGGACCGATAGCCTTTTGCATATCTGAAATGCGCTTAAGTTCCTGAGGGATGTCTTCCAGGAGAATTTTTAAATCCCCTCACCAGTGGCTATTTGCAGGGAAGACATGCTTTGTTACAACAGCTAAAAATTGAGCAATTTCATATTCACTGCAATTAAAATGAAAAAATAAATAAATAAAATAAAACAGGAAATGTTTTCAAGCTGCTCTGTCAAATTTCGCGCTTAAGTCTAATATATGTAGTTAATCGTAAACAATTACGCTCAGATAAAAAATAATTACATGGAATTAATAAATATATAGGGGCTGTCTGTATACACCGTATTCACAAAAGTCATTAACCGGACTTTATTTTAACCGTTGGTCATAGACAGATAGATACAATTTGAATTACAAAATTGCTTTCAATATGATAAATATTCATGCTTTTGCATTTTAAAATTTAAAAAAAATCAAAATTTAACTTTTTATACGTTTCCTGGTCCTCACACTTTAAAAAAATGTCATATTCATTATAAAAAAATAAAATAAGAAACAAATAAATCATGTAGACGAAAACTGAGAGGTATTTAATTTCAAAGCTGGAAGTCCTCTGCATGAGACGTACACAAAATGAAAAGAGGAATATTAGCATTTGTACTTAACTAAAAATAAAATATCCGATTAAAAAACGATTAATTATGTTAACAACTTAAGTGACGAGCATTTCTGTGTAGATAGTCTTGTAGGGTTTCCCTTAGTGTGCCTAACAAATTATTTTAAGTTTGGTATTTTTCCTGAACCTCTTATTTTTCCCTCGCATTTCCTTGCCAGGATGTAAATTTAAAGGTCAAGTGAAGTGAGTATAAAATCAAACGAAATGAATGGTTTATTCGGAGAATGATTTCGCTAGCCAGCTCACATTACTAGTTTGTCCTCGCTGTTGTTACGCTGACTTGCTAATACACCTTTTTGACCATTTAATAAGTATATCGCCTTAAACTAAATTGCTAGCCCAGCACTACTATTTATCTTTGAATTTATTCTTCAATTATTCTTAAGTTCCACCGCAAGTCGTCTGTGTTGAGAAGTCGCTCGGCTTCCCAGTACGATCATTTAACTTGATGATAGCAAAGAGGACAAGATCTTAAAAGTCTTGAAAAATATCGACTAACGTAAGTTTTCCTTAAAAAGAGATCTTATCTACAAACTTAAAGAATTCGTGCTCTAGAACCCAAACCTTCAGGAGAATAATAATACACTCATGGACAAAAAAAATTAGCGCACCAAGAAATAATTGCGGGATCGTAACGAACTTCAATGAAGTCTGTCGGGGAATATCAAATATAAATGCAGCGTGATTGCGCTTAAATTATACCCGTAGAGCGCCTGAACGTCTACTCTGTGGATATAAAACAGGTACCACCAAAAGCTTGTTTGAGTGGCTGAATCATTTACAAGGAAGAGCTGAGGTGATGCCATACGCGTGTTCGGAGACAATTATGCGAAGTTGTTCGCAGTTGGAGAGGGGAGAATCATCGTGATGATGAAGCCTGGTGGTCACTAGCAGTAATCTCGTCTTTAGGCCGCTCGATTGTTGTGAGGAGGTGGGCCAGTGGCCCAAAGCTGTCATTACCGAATACGGTTCAGGATGCACTCGACAGACCATCGTCGAGAAGCCGCCACTATACAAATGACGCGACAGAAACTGCTTCATCGGACCGCATTCGGCACTTTAGCACCTCACTACGGGCCCTTTTCTTCTTTCTCGACCATACGAAGCGCGGGCTGAAGGACAGTTGGTATCGCGGGCCCATTACGTGTGCTCCATTGATGCCCCACCCTCGATGCCCCGTCTGGATGTGTCGAGCATTGAACTGGACGCAGCGGAATGAACCAGTCGCTTTAGCGACAATCCAATTCAATCTCGGCATGCTGACAATCGTGTTCGTGTTGGGAGGCCGTGGTGAACGCCCAATCCTACTTGCTCAATCCTGCCTTTGCTAGCTGTGGAGCGACACTCGCCCCACAGCTGTTGATGGTATTGGGCCATTGCCTAAATCACTGTCACCCCTAGTATGTTCGTGGCACCATACAGCCCACGTATGTTCATGAAACTGCACCAACTGTGTTGCCACTCATGCACGCCCCGAAGCCATTTTTTCAACAACAGTGCTCGGCCCATGCGCAAAGGGTCCCAGACTGTCTCCGCCCTTTCTACACCTTTCCCTTGGCTTGTTGATCCCATTTGTCTCCAATCGAGCATGCTGGGATCATTTGGACGACAGTTTGGGCACCCAGAGGGTTGACAATAGAGGCAAGTTAACGCAGCAATTGGACAATGTCGCAAACATCATACGAACTTGGATGACTCATCCCCCGAATCGTATCGCATCGGCATTCCGCGCTAGAAGGGTCCACGGCTATAACTCCTCCGTTTTTTTTGCCTTTTTCTCTGAATAAATTATTGTTGCTTTGAATTTCTTTCATTTAATTATTCAAAGTAGTCATTACGTATGTAAAATTTCGTTTCATTTTGACGACTCCTTCTTGGTGCGCTAATTTTTTTGTCCATGAGTGTAACATAGTTTTAGAGTTTGAAAACATAAATTATTTTTTAGAATTCCTCGTTATAAGAAAATTACAAATTAAAGAATGTCACACAATAATGAGTCACAAAAGAACATGACTGAATGGTATTAAAAAACAAAATAACGAAACTCGAATCATTCTAAGTTATTTTTAAACCGAACTCTCAATGAAATTCGAGAATAACGTCAGACGTCTAAAATTTTGAAATTAAATTTTGAGATCAATTTTGTCATGCGAAAGACTAAACCTTTTATTTTTAATTTTTTAATGAGTATGAAATTCCCCTTATAAATATAAATTATTAATATGTTTTGATATGAAGACCTGGGAACCTCATAAAGTGTTAAATTTAGTAATTTTCATAAAATTCTTTTTTAATCTCTAAAACATGAATGCTTGCACATTTAAAATATTTTTGTAATTGAAAATATACGTCTGCGATCAAAAGTTGCGAAAGGATCAGTAATGACTTTTGTGGAGAGGGAAATATGCATCAAATGGAAACATAAGAAATTCCAATAGGATCATAATGTGATCTCCCTCATGTGAAGAACTGGATTGTTTCATAATCAATCAATTTCTTTCTTTCTTTATCAATTATATAAATGGGATTTTCTTTTCTTTTTGTCTTTTTCTTTCTAGATTTGCAATATGAAGGATAAAAAGTCCTTACATATATGTAGTCTCTTTGCTTTGACTTCTAATCAAGTGATCGCCTTGAAAAGATTATATCCAACAGAATTCCACTCATGAAGGATGAAAAAGTCAAAAGTCCTTAGAATTTGTATACAAATTTGTAGGAACCAAATCTCTTTGGTCTTTTAATCAACTGGTCGCCTTGGAAAGTCCAACAAAATGCTTATTCGTGTTTTTAGAGCACTGTTCATTTCCGGAGGTGGCCAACATTATAGATTTCATAGCATGTGCATTTAAATATATACGAATAATGTTTATTCAGTATTAAATATAATGATATTTTGGTAGAAATACGAAACAGTTTATTTATTTATTTATTGTTAACGAATAAGACAGACTCCTCCATCTCGTGATGCCTCTTCTATTAATACTACTAATAATAGAAATAGTTATACTATACGAAGGAAGTACATCGTTGATGGATAGGTATCAAGTGCGCATGGGAAATAACTTCGGCTTACATGCTAATTCTCAGAGGTTTTGCAAGTGTGAATGACCTTGATGACGTATTATATACAAGCTGGCAGACGGGAAAGTGTTTAGTGACTCGAATTCCAATCGCAGAGAAGGTATGGATGTAATTTATCCAACCCCTCATAAGAGGCAATGGTAGCCAGCCTATTAGGTGTCTCCATAATAAAATGACAGCCACTTCGACCGCAGTAGTGGCCAACGCCTATAAACGGCTAAAGCCCGCTATTGGAAAAGAAAAGGTATCTCGCGCGAGCAAAATAACACTGGTAGGTAACTGTAAATGGCTCCTAAACTTTCTTAGCTAAGTGTAAACAATCATACTAGACTATAAAAGATGACTATAACAATAATCGAATTTATAAACAATTATCGTCCAATGAATGTTATATGCAGAACCACGTCCATCTTTAGTGCCTGTATGACGAATTTGTACTTTCCTCAACAATGGAAGATTGCAAAAATGATCGTGATCCATTAAGCCCGGAAGGGATCATACGCAACTAGACCGATTTCGACGTATTAGCATATTACCTGGATTGGCTAAAGTATATGAATGAATTTTACTAGCAAGGATGAAATCTCACCTTAGCCAACTTCCGTCGGAGCAATTGGCTTCCGTGACCAGCTATCTGCAGTTACAGTAACAGGTGACAGGTGAGAGCAGATCCGGACACCCGGACGGCTTACATAGACTAATCGGGTATCGTCCGGACCCGACTACTGAAGCTAACACCGAAAACATACACTGGCAAAGTACATGGACATACAAGGCAAAATAGAGATTTTTTCTCCTGCAGCTAAATAAACGTTTCCTGGCTACCTCGCAGTTACACGCTGCTACTCGTAGTCGCTACAATATACATTTCATAATATGCCTTGCGTTGATCATTGCACTGTACTTAAGGCACATTTACACCAATGCTAACGTAACACTACTATTCTTTGAACATATTACGCTGAACATTATTCTTACAATTCCAACTAGATTCTGAACAATGTAATTGCTTAAATAAGACAAAAAGATGATATAGAAATAACCGTTTAAAAACAGCTTAAAAATACTTAATACAATAGAATAAATTAAGAGCTCTTAAATAAAGCAAAATTGCACATTACAAAACAAATTACACATTTGACACAGAAATTCCGTTGTTTACTTTGTTCTGTTCTTATATATACAAAAAGATTTAAGGACACACAAGCCCATATATTTGATAATAGCATGTAAAAGTTAACTGTAAGCATACATTTTCTGTATCTTAAAACATACCAAAATAACTTTGTTATTAAACATTCTACTGTTACGTTGCACCTTAACATATGCTATATATAAAAACACTAAACTTTTTATAATACATATGACATTGAACACTGCACTATATTTAGGACACCTTACAAAACTCATTTCTACACTTAATGCCTTGTGTATTGGCTATATACATTGAACATTACTCTTATAAATAATATAGGCAGTGGTAGTAACTCTTTGTATATAATCTTATAACAAAAAGCTTATAAAACATATTAGAATACACATTGAGGGGGGGGGAAATTTACAGATTAAATTAATTGCAGTTTAAAAATTACCTGTGCTAGATACTTAAAATACCGTATTTACCATGCACTATACATTTCATAATATACGCGTTAACACACTGCTATATATAAATCACTCAATACACTAAAATTTACAGAATGCAATAATATTTACATACATATAACTACTATAATAATTGCTACTAGTATATGGGTCACCACCACATCGTGATTGACAGAAATGGTATAGCCCGCGTATACTAACTAACTAGAGAACTGCACCCCGATGGGCACATTGGTGCCAAGCTTTGGGTCTTTTTTATATACTATTAAAAGGCTGCAGTTTGCAGAATATTACAATAGTTACATAAGGCTACATTTCATTTGTGAGCTCATGGTACTTGTGCACAAAAAGATAATTTGACAGGATACTGGGAATGGGTTATGTAAATAAGCATAGTAATTAAATTAAAACCATAGCAATTAGTGAGAATCACTGAATTTATGGGCCCAGCACTCCACTTGAATTTAAATACAGCTGTTCTCATGCTAGATGTGCATTTTGGTATGTTTTAAGAATACAGAAAAATGTATGCTACAGTTAACTTTTAACATGCTATTTAATCAAAAGTAATATGGGCTGTGCTGTGTCCTTAAATCTTATTTTGTATATAATACAGCACAAAGTAAAAACGAGTATTTCTGTGTGCAAATGTGTAATTTGTTTGAAGTGCAATTTTGCTCTTTATTAAGTCTTAATTTATTTATCTATTGTATTAAGTTTTTATTAAGCCTGTTTATAAAGAAGTTATGTACTATATAATCTAGTATGTCTTATTTAAGCAATTACATTTTCAGAATCTATGTGAATTGTCAAGAATAATTCACGTAATATGTTGCAAAGAAATATGTAGTATTAAGTGTAAGCATTGAGTGTAAATGTCCTAAGTACAGTGCAATGATCACGCAATGCATATTATGAATGATATTGTAGCGACTATGTGTAGACTATGTGTAGCTGTGTGTTAACATGCGATGTAGCCAGGAAAATGTTTAATTTCGCATGCAGAAAAATCTATATTTTGCCCTTGTATGTCCTTGTATGAAAACTTTCGACAGCGTCTGGCATGAGGGATTTATTTCCGAGCTGATCGATCAAAAGTTTGAAAGAGAATACCTTGATTTATTTCCAGCAGAACTTTTAGAGTCTCTGCAGGGTACATGCTCTTTACCGTTAGATATACGCAAAGCAGTATTCCATAGGATTCTGTTCTTGGGCCAATTCTTTATTTATATTACGTTTCTGACTTCCCGAAAATTCACTACAGTAATAGTGCAATTCTAGCACGCTAAGCTGATGACACTGCTCTTGCAGTTAGGTCAGCAAATATTAATCATGCAATCAAAAACCTGTAAGACAATGTTTCTTTCATTGAAGATTGGTGCAAGCGCTGAAAGTGCGAATTAACGCACAAAAATCGCAGTTTCTCATTGTTAAAAAAAAGAGAGAGAAATGTCCCCTAAAGAAGGACTTGTACTTTTTTAACGAACCTGTGCCGATCGTTAGTAAAGCTAAATACCTTGGTGTCACAATTAACAGCCAGCTAACTTGGAATGCTGATATCCAAAACGTCCGAAACCAAGCATTGAGAGTTATGAAATGTCTCTATCCAATCACTGAGTACTCTAAACTGAAGATACAGAAAAAGAGACTGATATATCTTTCAATAAGTAAGACCGATAATGACATACGCTGCATCTGCTTGGACCGCTGCAACAACAAAGGATATACAAAAGCTTCAGACAGTTCAAAATAAATTCCTCAGAATCATGACGAATGCACACGATTTTGTTCGGTGTCAAGTGTTGCATATTGATTTGAAAATTGATCCTCTGTAAAAATTCTTTCAAAAAATCAATACCAACTTCTTTAACTGAGCAGTTAACTGCGATCATCTCAAAGACTTTTCACTATTCAATTATGAGATTTTAGATGAGGATAGATTTCTCCGTCCCTACGCTGCATATTTATTAAAGAAAAATCATAGCTTTCCCACTTAGATTACTTTACTGCTGTCAATTTCCTGCGAAGTTACAAAACTCAAGCAGCATACGTCTGAGCCTTGGTCCGTAGGTCACATGGTACGGACTTGTTAACTTTCCTGTTGAACTTCGGCATTTGTATAGTTGTAAATAGCACACAAGATTGTTAATTGCACCTATTTGAATTATTTTTTGTTTGTTACTTGCTTTGAGTTTTGTAAATATGTTATTTTAGCAGAATTTCCCTGAGAATCCCACAGCCAATGCCGTGTCTGCTTACAGCTAGTGTGACAAGCTGTCTCGCCTCTTTCACCATCAGCTTCTGCTCTCTTGGACCTACGATTTGGATTCGGTCTACCTTCTGCTCCCATTGTGCAATCACTTGATAACAGCCGGAACATATCTTGCATTTTGCTTGATAATTACGGCAAAAGAGGAACTTGGAACTTGGAAATCGAATTTAAAGAACATGGCGGAAAATCCTGACACTCTCTGAACGTGAATTGTATAAACTACAACACTTCGCCTTACCTCCGATTCTGGTTTCGATGGGGCGGATGGTACCACCCTTCATGAACCAAGGGCGCTCCGGATGGGTCCTCGGGGGAGTGTTGAGGCCGTGCTGCGTGGATGGAAAAGGTGGAGATCGGAAGAGGCTGGTCTCGATGCCCAGTCTAAGGCTAACCCTTAGGAAACCATTGATAGTGAGTAAGAGGCAACAGAGCGCCAGCAAGACGGTAGACAGAGCACGAGGAAGACGGAAACGTCGCATTCTCTGCACGCATAATCCATCAGGTCACCTGCAAAGACAGATGGTAACAGATGAAAAAAGGGTTACTGTGAGTTCGAAACAACGTAAACAAATTGACGTAAGCAAGGTTTATTTTCAGTTAACGTATTTTATCTTATGTTAACTCTGCAACTAACTTCTTCTTCTTTCCCAGCTCTAATATATTGTTACGAAGTGTACAAGCGCGGTGAGATAGCTTCCCCGCAAAGCAGTTTTTGGTTGCCATAAAAATGGCAAGAAAAAGCAGGGTTCCACATTTGGCGAGAAATCGCTTATTTGGAGACAAAATTGTCGATATACCATGGACGATTGGAGAAGAGAACCTTCTGGAACGAATTCTTACCGGTTTAGTCCAGAATGTTCCCGAACACAGCCGAAAGCTATATAAACCCTGCTGGTCCGCAGTCAGTCAGTGTGCATCACTCATCGATTGAGTGTGTGTGTTTTTGGGCCTATAATTAACGTATCATTTAAAGAAACACCTGTGTTTGTTTTAGCGCTCGCATCGAAAACAACTCTCAATTTTGTTGTTAAGCTAGAGTAGTTATGCGAAGCAGTTCATAGTTTTTAGTCTGAATAGGAAGAGGACACAATTTCACGACTGGTCGTTTTTATGACACCATGACCAGTTTTAATACTAGCAACTCTGACTCTTTGATCTGAGCCCGGATGAACAGCAATTATTCTCCCTAACCTCCATTTAAGAGGCGGAAGGTTGTCTTCTTTGATGAGGACTAAGTCATTGACTTCTAAATTGTTTTGATTTTTTGCCATTTAGGTCTTTGTTGAAGCTGAGACAGGTATTCTCGACTCCATCTTTTCCAGAAGTGCTGAAAATAAACTGTCTCACATGCCATCTGTCAAGGTGATTGAAGGAACTATAATTTAGGTCTGGCTTCAGGTATGGCAGTTAAAGACGTTCCTATTAGGAAATGACCAGGTGTTAATGCAGTTTTTAAATCATTTGGATCAGCCGATGTTGGACACAATGGCCTAGAGTTGAGACAAGCCTCAACCTGCGCTATCAAGGTCTGAAATTCCGGATAGGTCAGCACAGTATCACCAACAGTCCTTTTTAGATGTAATTTCATTGACTTTACTGCCGATTCCCATAGTCCACGAAAATGGGGAGATGATGGCGGGTTGAATATCCATTTTATTTCCTCTAAAGACAAAAATTTGTGAATTTCTTGATTTTGCTTACATTGCAAAAAACATTTTCTTATTTCTTTGTCTGCACCTTTAAAAGTTAGTACCGCAGTCACTATAAATCTCTCAAATGGTTTCCCTCTTCTTGCAATAAATCGTTTCAATGCACTTAAAAAAATGCCTTTGTTGACAAATCTTCTACCACTTGACCACTTCAAGATGTACTGCCTTGATTACAAAACACACAAATAAGCATACGTTAGCATTTAAATGATTTTTGTCCACGTCCTGCACGATGTTTAATCATGAACGGTCCAGAAAAATCTTATTCCAGTTCGATGAAATGGTCGCGATTGTGTTACTCTAGAGATTCCGGTAGATCAGCCATTATTTGACTTGCAGTTTTAGCTGTAAGTTTGCAACACGTGATACAAGATCTTACTACTTTTTCGGATAGCAGATCTAGCAGCTATGATCCAAAATTGCTGTCCAATTAAAGATAGAAGAAGTTCCGGTGCTGCATGCAGATATTTGACATGAAAGTGTCTAATTATGATTTCTGTCAGATTGTGTTTTGAAGGTAATAAGATTGGATGTTTTTTCATTTCTGATAGTTGCGCATTTTTTCAGTCTTCCTCCTACACGTAACACTTTGTTGTCATCTAAAATTGGACACAAAACTAAGGAGGTTGCTGTTTGTAGGTAAGTCCTTTCCCAACCCCAAACATTGAATTTCTTTAAAAAAGTGAAATCGCTGTATTATTCGGACAATACAGAAAGTTGCAGCTCGAATTTCATTACTAGATAAAAAAGACGTATTTCTTTCTAGATATGCTACTTTAGAATTCGATATGAATCTTAATATCCAAGCAAATGTGCGTTGTAACTTTGGAAATGAAGATATATTTGATATAATAGCAAGTTCCTGTACAGGTTCAGAAACTACAAATGAGACTGTTTTACGTGCATCTGGTAATGCCTCTTCATCTATAAGAATATTTTTAGACAAGGCAATCTCACTGCACTTTAACCAAGAAGGATCATTCCACCACAATTGATGAGATAATAGTTCTGCAGGAAATAACCCACGTGAAGCACAATCAGCTGGATTTTCCTTTCCATCAACACGACTCCAGTTCTCAGGTGATAAGATGGATTGTATTTCAGAAACTCTATTGGATACGAATACTTGCCATTTTTTAGGATCTGACCTTAGCCATGACAACACCATTTGTGAATCACTCCAAGCTTGCACTAAATCAAAATTTATAACTAATGCAGCTTTTACAGACTGAATCAAGCGTGCCAATAACACTGCTGCACATAATTCCAGTCTTGGAATCGTAAATAGATTTTAATGGTGCTACACGAGTTTTAGCTGTTACGAGTTTAACATTAATGTCAGAGTTATTGCAAGTTTTTTATAAATAACTGCTGCATAACCTCTTTTCAGACGCATCACAAAATCCGTAAAGTTCACATCGAAAATAATCAGGTAGCAGAATTTTCCTAGGTATATTTATAGAATTCAAAAGTTTAACTTCTCTACATAGATTTCTCCTATTTCGATCAATCTCTTCTGTTACAGGATCATGCCATGATAATTGTAATTTCCACAATTGCTGAAGGATCATTTTAGCGAGAATTACAAACGGAGCTATCCACCCCAATGGATCGAATAGCTTTGCTATGAATGACAAAATAATCCTTTTAGTCTGAACACTTTGATACTCTATTACACCTACACCGACATTACATTTGAATTCATCATTGTCCGGATGCCATTCCAATCCCAGAACTTTCAATGTTTTGTCTTCTATTACACACGATGAATATTGTCACTATCTGTGTTTGTTAAGCCAGAGGTTTTTAACAATGACGGTTCACTTGTCGACCATTTGTGAAGCTCAAAGCCACCACTTTTTAGCAGTTGTTGCAATTCGTCTATCAATGCAATACCTTCCGAACTATCTTTTACACCAGTTAACATATCATCAACATAAAAATCTCTTAAAACTATATTCTTTGCTTGCCTTTGGAAAGTTCAATCCTTCATCAATCGCTAACTGACTCAAAACTTTGGTTGCAAGATATGGAGCAGCTGCAGTTCCATATGTAACTGTTTTCAAACGACAAACTTGTATTTGTTTATATGGGCTATCTCTCCATAATATTCTCTGAAAATCTCTATCTTTTTCATGAACCTTTATCTGTCTGTACATCATTTTAATATCAGCGGTTATTGCAATGTTATGAAGTCTAAATCTTAGTAAAATACAAATTAAGTCATCGTATATTTTTGGGCCTATCATTAGTATCATTTAAAGAAACACCTGTGGTTGTTTTAGCGCTCGCATCGAAAACAACTCTCAATTTTGTTGTTAAGCTAGAGTCCTTCACAACACGAAGTGATGTGGGATATAATAGTGTTTATTCTCTAATTCATAATCTGTGTCTGGCACTAATTCTACTACGTGTTCTAGTGAAAAGTACTCTTTCATAAACTGAATATACTGGTTGTAAATTTCTTTCATAGATAACAGCCTCTTCTCCAAGTATTGAAATCTTCTGTACGCCACTTCACGGGAGTCACCTAGAATATCTCTATTATGTTTGAATGGTAATGCAACTGAATAACGACCTGATGTGTCTCTAAAATGCGAGTTTTTTAAAATGTTCTTCACAAAGTTTTTCTTTCATTTGTTAAAGGTTGTACATTTGGAAACTTTTCTAACTCCCAGAAAGAATTTACTAACTCATCTGTGTTTGTATTCAAATGATTTACATATACTGGCTCAAAATTTGTAGATTCAAAATTTGTAGTACCCGAAATTATCCATCCCAACCTCGAATTTAGAGCAAATGGTAGATCAGGACCACGTTTGACAATTTCTCTTCTCTCCCGTCATTAAATGCAGAAATACATTTACTCCAAATAAAATGTCAACTGGTTGTGACTTGTAAAATAATGGATCAGCTAATTGTAAATCACTGAAGTTTATCGAAGATGATTGATGGCAAAGATACATAGGGAATGTTATCTGTCACCTTGTCCAGTACAAACGCTGATGTTGATACACGAATATCACCTTTTAAAATGAGAAGTGAATACTAAATCGACTTCCCATTACTTATAGTATTAAATTCTCCTAAACATGATACAGAAATGGAATTATCTTTCACTCGTAATCCTAATTTCTTCACACAATCCCTTGAAATAAATGATCTCTGAGATCCAGTGTCACATAAACATCTACACTTCACAAATTGTTGCTTAGAATTTTGAACTTTTATTAAAGCAGTACACAATAAAATGTGACTGGTTTGATTACCTTTTGCATTCGAATCATAATGAGAGGCACAAACTGTGGCTGAAACGTTAATTACTCGTTAATTCATCTCTTTTAGGGATAGATTGCGTAGGCGGAGATATACTATTTAACTGAGTTTTATTCTTTGAATTATTTACAATGTGCAAAATACTGTGATACTTTTTAAAGCAATGTTGACATGTATTTAAACTCTTGCATTTTTTGAGCAAGTGCATATTAGATAAACAATTAAAACAGTAACGATTAGATTTTACAAATTCTATCCTTTGCTGAACCGATAAATTTAGAAATTTCGAACATTTGGCTAAACTATGATCTTCTTTACAATAACCACAACCCAAAGTAGCAACCAGAACATTATTCTTATTTTGAAACACAGATTTAGGTACCTTATTACTTGTTGATTTGCTATTTTGAAGTGTTCTTGCATAGTTTTTTAGGAATTCAATTAAAGTCGTAAGTTTTGGAATTTCATTAGATTTTAACTGACGTTCCCACCATAATTTTTGTAGAAGGGTCTAATT